AAACTTCCACTAATAGTCAATTTTTCAATTCCCAATCTTACAACTACTCTCACATATTCTTCTAGTTAGTGAGTTATCATCCACTTCATCATCATGTAATCAAACTATCATATATAGGGCATCATCATAGTTATGGAGGTTGAACAAATAGTGAACTTGGTATTGGGGGTATGTCTTTCCCTTTTGATTTTACCATGATCAAGTTTATCATCATACATTCCTACGGAACAAAATTATATTAAATTTAGCCATCCTCCAGCTGCCTGACAAGCCTTGAACAACTTTCTATTAGTGGTTCTCCCACTACTATTGCTCCCTCTAATTTCATGCTTTTTTAACAAAAAATTGGTAAATTGATTAAGCACTCTCAAAACTCTAAAATTTACTTCACATATATTTTCCTCCTTTGGTCACCCAACTTCTTAAGTATGTCCTACATTTAAATTCACACAATAAATCAAGGACAGTTATATCATTTTTTATGGATCTTGAAATGGACACTCTTCTCAATGATTATAACTGCAATCTAATTATCCCTATTTTAGTTTTAAAATCAATTGCATATTAGTAGGTCTTCGGTATAATTTTATTTCATCCTAATGGATCAACTGATAGATAAAAAGTTCTACTGCATGCTAAAAGGTTCATCCAAGTCCATGGGGTAAACTATTTTGACATATTAACCAAATTGCACAACTAAATGCAGTAAAAAACTTTAATTTGTCGCCATAAAAAAAGTTGCATCATACTTGAAATAAATGTAACTAATGTCTTCTTTTATGGTGACCTTCGTAAAGCTGTCTATATCGAAAAAAATATTACATCAATACTCCTAACGTAAAGCTACGTTCGGAGTCCGATGAAATGATGCCACGTAGACGTGACGGAAAAATAAAAAAAATCATTTTAGAGCAGATGAATATTCCCTCCGTGTTATTCTTCTGCATTATTCATGTGTTACTGTGGTAGTATTCATGTGTTATTGTGTTCTGAGAATATTCCCGGTGTTATAATAACATAATAACACATTGTTTTAGCGCATGAGAATATTCCCCCCATATTATTCTGCTTTATTCAGGAGTTATTGTGATGATATTCATGTGTTATTGTGTTATGGGAATATTTCTTGTTTTATAATAACACAATAACACATCAATACCACCACAATAACACCTGAATAACACGGAATAACACAAGAGGAATATTCTCCTGTGTTACCGGGCCAGATCACATGAAAGCACACGCGTTTCCTTGAAGTCACGTGTTCGCATATCAGTGAACTTCAAACGTAGCTCTACGTTAGGAGTCCTGATGTAATATTTTTCCGTCTATATCAAGCATCCTTCCAAATGCATTGCTCGAATAGAGAAATATGCATACCTACTCAACATTGTCATATATGGCCTTTAATAGAATCCATAAGTCTGATTTGATAAATTGAAGAAAATTCGAACAGAAATTGACCTTTAATGCAATGTTAAAGATAACTTTATCTTCATCAAACATATTCTTTTAAGATCTGACAAACTAGCTGTTATTTTGACCCTCAATTATTGAACTAAGGTAAAATGACACTTTTGTAATGTGGTACCGCTCACCTACCACATGTCACCTACCGCTCACATACCGCTCACCTAACTCCCACCTACCGCTCACCTACCTCCCACCTACCACTCTCTTGCTTCTATAAATAGAGAGGGTGTGAGGCTTAGGAGAGCAAGGGAAGAGACCTTAAGCTATCACGAAGGAGGAGAAAGGGAAGAGATCTTAAGCTATCACGAAGGAGGAGAAAGGGAAGAGATCTTAAGCTATCACGAAGGAGGAGAAAGGGAAGAGATCTTAAGCTATCACGAAGGA